TAGGTTTCTGTAATCGAAAAGTAATATTTGCTCATTACTCTTATAACGCACATCCGATGTCCAAAGTACGAAGCGCGTTTCTGTAGCAACGGGATTTGAGGATTTCACAGAGCCGAGCCAAGTGATGGCGTGGTCATATATAGTTAATCATCGTCTACATATTGACGAGTCTACGAGTGAGGAACTCTAAACTAACTTATCGATTTCACAAAACACTAGATCGATGAGTAATCGATTTAAAATGGCCAGAGAATGTAGTCGTGGTAATAATGTTTACCAGCTTTATGCTTGTCACTTCTCACGTAGGCCTATAAACCCAGCTTTATACTTGTCACTTCTCACGTAGGTCTATAAACCCAGCTTTATACTTGTCACTTCTCACGTAGGTCTATAAACCCGGCTTTATACTTGTCACTTCTCACGTAGGCCTATAAACTATTTTGGCCTATTTTGATATAAAAATGTGCATGTTAAAGATAAACTTTGCAAATTTCTAAATATTTGTATGTAGCGATATTTAAGGTTTAATATGGAGCAGTATTATCCAAATAGATTATCGTTGGGTTTTTTCATGTTTTATATTAACTTTATCAACTGTTCCGACTCAACCAGCGTAACTTAATATATTATACATATGAGTTTACCACTCATTTTATTTAATTAATTATATATATATTGTTGCGTCAGCGAGGTCACGTGATTAGTATCACGCCACGTCTTTCTCGAACCTTCGTGAATTATCGGGAGACTACTAGATTGGGGGTAGGCTGGTATATATATAAGATGGTCACAACGTGACGGAACAATGAGTAATTGAACTGCAGTCTGAGAATGTGTGAGGCAATGAGTAATTGAATGTATGCGGACAAAATATTGTTGGTCACGTGAGACGGGAATTATAGCGTTGTTATAGAGCGACTGTTGAAATTAAGTGTATCGTAAAGTTGTATTCGGAAAGAACAAACCAGTTTTATTTAAGAAAGGACTTGTGTCGGTAAAGTTTCGTCGGAACGAATTTACGGAAAATTAATTAACAAACGGAGACGTAACAATATATATATATATGTGTGTTACAGTGAAATAATTTATCATCCAGCTTCAAAAACAAAAGTGTATTTTGATTTTACCATCTTACGAGTACACTGTAATAAAATAGAATAATTAAATCTCACTGGCCTAGAAGAAAAACAAACAATTATCTTCATGGAGCAAAAACAAGTTGGTCTTTCTAAAGTCAGCAACGGTTACATTGTAATTACCTTTACAACGTTTTATGATTTCGTTATAAGCTTGTGTATACAATCTATCTAAAATTCAAAGGCATCCAGTCATGCTATTTAAAATGTCTAGTCAGAAAATATAATGTTACGACAGCGGAAATCACGTGACGCTGGAAGCATGCGCGCTGGAGTTTCTAGAAGGATCATGATTGTTCCTGGCAACTCTAGTATTTTCTAGGCGCCCTCTATTTTAGTATATAAGCCCGGCAAATAAAGCAGAGATAATAATGGCAGATAGATGGAGATAGATAATTGAGTCAAGTGAGTGGTAGTGACCGTAAGTAAAGTGCGTGAATCGTTGTAAATT